GACCAGTTGAATATATGCAACTAAGATATTTTCCAATGCAAAAAATGTACACTTATGCGCACTTGTAAAATGGCAAGTTCCTTCCTCCATTTATCCACACTCGCACTACTGACTGGTCCTTTCTGCCCACCACCTCATGAACGCAGAAATTACGACACCACATCGAACGTACTTTGCAGACTTCCAACAGTTTCATCAAAAACTCATCAGCAAACACTAATCGCCAAAACGCCCTTCAGCAGAGGTATAGTCGCGACGAAATACATGTCCTTCGCAGGCTCGGAGAGAATGTAGCTGGTACACCACTTCATGTGTTCATTCTTCTCAACTTTCCTTGACAGAATTTGAAGTTTCCACTTATTCGTCACCCATGTCACCAATCTCCAACGCGAAAGGCATCCCCGTACCTATCAAAACAAAATGAGATGTGGATAAATAATTTTAAACATGGTGAACTACTGCAATAGTCTTACCAATCGAGTCAACGGATTGACAGCTAATCCAATGGTGGCGTAGGCTGCATGTCGACGTCTCGAGTGTGGCAGATTCCTTACTACCTCGGCTTGTGTTTGTTCAAATTGCATCTGCTGATGTTGCTGAATATGCGATCACGTTCATTAATGTAGAGGAGCATACGCAAGTACCCTTCGGCGGACACTGCAGCTGTATCCACACCCCATAAACCCATCATATCCTACCAATATGGATATTATAACAATTTGGACAATGCAACCGTCACCAAGAAATCGTGAAAAGACAAGTAGCGAATTCCCACTGAAAACATGCACATCAAATCTGCCAAGACACAAAATGCCCCTTAACAACTCCTAAGTTGAAATCTATTCCCATCTGAGCAAAGCACAGAGTTATAATAAAGTCCAATTTTAAATCTAGTGTTCCTTATTAATCCCTCGTATCTAATCAGATGCAACATCACAAACAGGTTTATTCTTCTTGGTCTTGTAGAGGCAAGACCATCATTGACATCAGGTAGGGACTAGAAATCGACTGTATTTCCGACCAAAATCCTGCCGTTAAAGCCTGCAAAGAACTCACCAAACCAGCAGACAAAGTACTAAAATGCAGACAATGACCTTGAAATTGACTAATTAAGCGAGCTGTTGCGAAAGCTTTTTTGGTATAAAATAAGTTAAATTTACGGTTAATTTTTTCTGTCAAAACAGACCTAACCTTTCTACTAGCATTTGAAAGTCACAAATGACTCAATTTTGAAAAAGCAGATGCTAACAAACCGTTTAACCGAAGGGAAAAAAACATCTGGACACTAAAAAGTGCTGACGCTCAAGTCTTCACTTTCTTCGGATGTTACGGATAATATAAAGTGGCAGATTAGAATAGCATTTGTTGCTTTAGATATATTTTGGAAATGATAATTTTTGCATTGAATCGCGTTGGGGAACTTTTATTAGTCCGGGGGCACTGGAATCAGCACCGACTTAGAGAATATCGGGTACTGATCACTTCTTTGTACCTGGTAATTCTGACCACTCCTTCTCTACGAACTTGGGGTTCTCGGAATGCTCCTCTCAAAAAGGTGCATTTAAACAGCATCAGTATGACTTTGCCTCCTCGTCTTCTGACATCGTGCCCGCAGCTCCCTTAGGTTCCGTATACCCTCGAGGTGTACCGTTGAGATGAATACAACTTTAGCTGAATTGCATTCATAGTAAACATCATGCCTGCACGCTTTACACTCAATGCAGACTTGATCCCCTGAAGGTGTCGGCAATACGTCATGTCGAGATGTGTGAGAAAGCTTTTGGCGAAATTCCTGGAACTTCGAAGAGAAGATTCTGACTGTGGGATTGAGGACATCCAAAATCCTTACGTCTAGGCACACCCTTCATGTGCTCGTAAAATTAGTCTTTTTAGTAAACAAGTGACGGCAGGAGATGCAAATAAAAGGGTGACACTTCTAGCAAAACTTTTCCCTTATCCTTTGATTGCTTATTTGCAGAACTTCTGGGTTTTCAAAAAGTTATCATGTTTCGGTTTAAACGCTCAGAGTAGATAAGTGTAACTCACCACAATGCGCCGCGTTCATGTGATCGCTAAATTTGCTGTCCTGAGAATGATATCATACAGTCGAGGCAGATGTGGTTCCTCATTTCGGCATTCCTCAAATTATCTTTTCGCGACAACTCTCCCTTACTCCCTTCTGGTACGTTTGCTATTCACTGTAAGAAAGTCGGCGTCATTTGGCAAGCTATCGTGCTTGAATCTAGTGTGAATATATTTAAACCGCGCAGTTTTGCCACAAGTAGCATATTTCACTGCAGCTAATTTACATGCTTGCCATACTCACACATAAAATTTGCAGAAAAAAGACAAGCAAAGGGCATTTGTATGTCACGAAAAAGTTGGGTAGTTATTAAGTTCCTACATCCTTTTGCCTACTTTACAGGCTGTACCACCATTCCAAATTGATGTGTAGCCTGTCACAATGATCGCCTTAAATCCACCTTAGCACGTCATCTTCAAATGTGAGTTGGAGAACGGTAGAGGTGGTTTGGAAACCTCTCAGCCAGTCGGATTCTTCACAATTATCAAGTGAAGTTAAACATACGTATAAGCAGAGAGGGCATGAGCCACGTCAGCAAATACTCGAGACAAGTGATTCTTCTCGAGAGGGTATCAAATAATGCCAATGACCCACCATATATTGTGAAAGTAAACGGCACCAGTTTGGTGATAATAGAGTCCGTATCGAATTCCCCACTGCCAATAGCAAAGTGGCCACCTTCAAACTATAATTTGAATGATAACGATTAACTTCGGTAGCTATACAAGTTTATTGCAAAAAAACAAAGGCATTCACAGTGATCCCTGTACAACATCTTAAACACGCTTGCAGCTGCTGCAAAGTCAGGTCAATTTAAAATTGGTAAAGATATGAGAACAAAAGAATGATGACAATTAGAGCACTGGCCTCGTTCCTAGTAAATGTCTTTTCGGAAGCTTTTAACATCTGTACATACTGGATGGGCTCGTAATAGTGCCCGTGCCAACATATACGCATGTTGTTGTTGACTGGTCCCCTGACAGTGCTTATGATGTGGTGATGTGGACGAGAATGGTGTGAATCTGATCAAACTAACAACCACACAGTCGATGGATTGTAGAAGAATTGGTGGAGCAAATAGCCTTACTACCAACGTAATGAGCAAGCCAAGAAAGCGCTGACAGTGTGTACATGCCTAGAGGCTAGAGGGTGGATGCCGCCTGAGTCTCAGTCAGAGTGCGGCTGAGCAGCGGCCGAGTCTGTATGTCAGTAAATTCAGTTACACTTAATTATAACATTTACATGACCTTGGACCAAAACCCGCCATCAGTACAGGTAGAGTACACCTAGCGTACATCCACACACCATACATGCATCACTCCCAGTCAGGTCAGGAGGCAGTGAGCAATGAAAACGACATTCAAGAGGGCTTAATGATTGGGAATTAATTGGAACTCTTAGGAAGACGAATAGGCGCGTGTTGCTGAGATTGAAGGATTCCCTGTGCAGTTCATAATGAAGCATCAACTTACGGTACAAATGAATGCAAACGAATGTCATTGTAGTTTGAACCCGCATTCACGATTTGGGCAGTTTCATAGGAGATATGCACCACTGCCCTCCCATTTGGGCAAAAGTGTTGCAAATTTACCATAGATTTTGTTCTAGTTTCAGTGCACAGCTAAATGCTACTCAATTGCATTTGGACTCTATCAACTCCCAAATTTCATTTAATGAGCAGTGAGAGGTAAGCCGTATCAATTACGAAGGCCAGAGTATCAAATAGGGGCAGGAGTAAATATTGTTTGTTTGCAGTTGATTTATTTTAAAGCACTTTTGGTAAGTGCGTTTCCCCATACCTTTTTATCCCCTTGTGTAATCCATCGTGTTCGATGAGATCGTACCTCAATCAGCACGAAAATCATGCGACTGTTATGTAATTGTAGGTTTAAGTAGTGCACTTGAGGCTACGAATCCATTTTAGTTGGGTTATCTGTAAAAATCCAAAAGCTGCCTCTTAGCGGTGGTGCGGAGTGGAGCCCGTGAAAGTTCAGTCGCTTACACAGTAGTGGTGTTAATACATTCGAGAGTGGAACTTACAGGATCTTGAATGCAGGATGAAAGTTTGTTCTGGAACATTAGCATAGGGTTCCTTAGACCCTAACAACTGATCTGACTTGTTGAAATATCTCATCAAAATGAGCAGCACTTTTGAAACTGTCGTATTTACAGTTTCCCCCTTTGTAGCAATGGCATGTAAATGACACTTTGCCTGCAGGCGACTACTCAGAAGATGTTTGAGTTACTTTTGCCAGCACCACTTAGGGGCTAGATGCGTTTCAAATTTAGTAGAGTGAGATTTCGCACTACAAGTTTGCTCCCTAAGGTCAAACAGTATGCCGCAAGCATGTTCCAGATGGATAGATTTGGAAAAAGTAATTAATGTACCTTATTGGTGCCTCTTACTATGTAAAAGCTAACGGCGTATTCACAGGTGATAACAAACATAAATACTACAGATTGCGATTATTTTCCAGCATCCCAGCTAGTCTTACTAGTCTTCAATATTGCATCAACACCTATGTCAGGTGAGGTGAAGGTGCCACTGGTTTTGAGACTAATCACCTCCAATTATTCGGGTGCCTAATAATCATGTCTAGGTAAGGCAACAACTAGTGGAGTAGTTTGGAAGCAATCATCAACAATATTCGTTGGACATGGTGCACAGAAATTGGGATTATGGTGCTGATTAGCTATGCAGATCCTTCCGTTGTTTCGGTAAGACAAAACTTGGTAGTAGATTATGAACCTCCCACGCCTAAACAATGGGTGCTACTGGTCAGTTGAAGAATTTGAATTTCAAAACCTCTGCTCCGTTTTCCATTGTAAAGCCAAATCATTTCGAGTCAGTAGAATTGGACCAAAAATGACAAAAGAAAACAAAACGTGACTAATTTCTGTATTTGTCTGTCAACAGTTAACCACTATCCGATGTCGCATTGTTAATGTTAGTTGGCACCGAATGAATGGCGACTGATGTATCCTCCGCACTATGGAAGACTGTAGTGGAAAAAGATTTGCTCAGTATGCACAGCTCATTGGCCGTGATAGTTTACATGGATGAAGCAGTTGGTAATTTACATTAACTCACGCAAAATTTTATTTCAGGGCTACCGCCATGCAAACAAAGGCAATTCCAAATGTCAAGGGAATTCGGACAGACCCACTAGTCGAGAAGGAGCTTTCTTCCTCTCCTACGCAAAAAATATTCAAATGAGGACATTATGTAAAAAATTAAGGTTGCTCAACTGTAAACTGTGTGGAATCGAGCACCAACAACTGCCATGTAGTAAGTAGCTCAATATGTGCTCTTCAACTATGATGCAGAAATTGTCACCAGGAGAAGGAGTTAATGAGTAATACCCCTATGATGTGGAGTTTGCACATCGTAATCACAAGCACCAGCTTACCAGTGGGTGGTGTTTCAATTGTTCCGACGTAAGACAAAATGCTGACTGCACCTCGAAATGCCTCCACATGTACATCGTACGAGGTGCAAGGGTCCATTTTGTCGAGAGTGATTGCTCCAAATGAAGAGTTTGCTATTTTATGGATAGGGGGCTGCGGGGGTTTAAACTGTACTACAGTTACTGCAATTTGGTTTGCGAGAAGTGCATCCATGCTTTCCATGTCCCAACTTATCTGATAGGTCAGAGGACCCACGAGACTCAAGTTAAAGTAACACGAATTCCAGAACTCGCCTGTTCTTTCGCATTTGTTATCGAAACTCCTAAAAAATACTGCAAGAGTTGTTATTGTGCAAACTAGTTTAGGCTTTCTTTTCTGTTAGTTAAGAAAATACAGAAATTTCCCCCTGACACGATGAAAATAGTAGCAAAAAAATAGTAGTAGTAGTAGCAAAAAAAAAATAGTAGTAATGCGACTTTACAATATTCATGTCTTCAAAATACAGCATTTAACCCCTTTTTTTCACAAGGGATGAGAGTTATTAAGGACTACCATTCAAAATGGAGCTTAACATCATAATAAGATGTGCATGTGTTAAGTATGTTTGAGAAGTTAGCCTCTTGCACATCTTACATTCCTTTTATATTTTCTTCAGTCAAATTTATGCGTAAAAGCTTCATGCGACTAGACTTAGCGATTGTTGCCTACAATGTACCTCCACATCATTTGTTCACCTACTCAGTGTGCACTGAAGGGTTGGAGTGGAGAGAAAACAAATGGCGATGCCTCGCTCATATCAAAGTTGGCATTGGGAAAACACATATGTTAAACAAACTGAAATCTGTGTAGAAAACGTTTGTGCTGGTATATATAGAGCGTATTTGGGTTGGAATTTGGGGTGAAGTTAGTAATGAGACAGCAGTATCACGCCTCTCTCACTGGTAGGTGGCAGTGTGGCATTATGCAACAATCATTAAAAACTAGGGGGAGTAGGAGGGTTTCAAATTTAATAAGCGCTGCTCAATGGAAATGTGCGTATCATGGTTTGAAATGAAAGGACTACACCGATGCAACAGGCACTATTATTTGTCAAATGCTCCTTCGTGTACGTTGAGCAGAGTCATATGACAGAAGGCATCTTACCACGGTCACCCCTGTTTCCAGTAGCCAAAATGGAGGTAGCAAGCAAAATGAGCCAAAATTGAACCGCCATTGCTACTTTACAAATGCTTTGTGTTCACAATCTGCGACACACTTTATAGAAATGCTCTGCACACACATATCAGCCTATTGGATACCGTGCTCTTGACCTGCAAGACAACTTCTGCATTCATTCAATGAAAGCTAGCAGATGTTGATTTGCCTTAGTGATTCCACCTTCAATTTCTACACTCGCCAGCATGGACATCCACAGCACAATCATGTAATTAAAAGCGGAGTTAACTTTTGCATCACTTTGAACTTAACTATTGTGTGGAAGAAGTGTTTCGAAATCTATACCACCTTGGATGTGTCCTTTCCTTATTGAAGAACTCGTCACGATTGGGGGACCGGAGTGACTGCAGTTGTGCCATGCCACGACTTCCGGCATTTGAACTGCGGTCAACTGAAAAATTGGCAGACGACACTTTGGTTGGCACTGCATTGTGTCAAGGGAACGAGATGACCACGGTGAACGAAGGCAGTAAAAGATATGGACATCACCGGAGATGCGTGCTATTTGACTTAGTGAGTATAGCGTATTTTCGTAAACCATTTTCGCAGGGCACCTTTTTACTCTGAATTCCAACATTTCTCTACCGAGTGTGTCGATGAGATGCATACAGATGCACAGGTATTATGTATTACTTCACCATTCATGGTCGTCATTTTGAGCACATCTTATGGAATCTACAAGAAGGCAAGAGGTGGAATATGAAGCAAACGATATACAGTCTTGTCAGGTGGGATTGCGGTCACCGAAGACGGAGCAAAACAGGTGAGCGCATTGCCAACACTAACCTACTAGACGGACCTCCCTAGCCTCTTACGGTTGGCATATCACCACAGGCTTTTCGTTGAAGGTATGCTAATATTGCTAGCCCGCTGCATAAGTTAATAAAAAAGCAGGTGAAAATTTTTTAGGGGAAAAAAGCAATATGAAGCCTTTAAAGAATTAAAATGAATGCCCTGCCCTACACCGATTCCAGCGTTGCCCCACCGTTTGCACTGCATGTGGAGACATGCGACGCAGTCGTAGGCAGTGTACACTCACACAGGGGCAAAGATGGAAGGTAGCACGTCAATGCCTACTCGTGTGACTGATTCAGCGAAAAAGTGTGATGTAACAGTGCAACATAATGCGAGCTCTAAGCTACCATCAGGTACTACCCGATGACGAGGAAATTCACAATGAGAATGGGTTATTAGACGCTTACCAGGTTTAAACAGTGAAGGTGATAGACCTTTCAGCTGCACATTAATAGAAAGAACCGCAAAAATGCAGCTTCAGAGAACATAGAGAGAGGGGAATGTGCATGGTAATGCGGAAGCTCCAGCTAGTAAACCAGGTCAGGCCAAAAAAGGTGTTGTTGTGCGTGCCATAGTCTTAGGCGCAACTCCAAAATAACATTAAAAATTTAAAAAGAACCAATTCGAAAAAGTGTTCTGGTATGTGAGACTTCCCTCACATACTCTTATAAGCCCGCAGTGCAAGAAATGACCTCTTCCACCATGGTGGACAGACATATAAGGCAAGAATGGCGCAGGGCTCTCTCTAGAGACTAGGGTTTTGCGGTATTAAATAAATGTAGGTTCTTCTAAGGGCCTTGTAGACCCAGACTCATTAGTACAAGAAGGAATCCAAAAGTTGCATGTGCATCTGGGCGATGTGGGTATAAAGAAGATGCCAGGTGCCTCAAGCAAAAGATATCGGTGGCCTTCGCTCTCCCGAGACATACTTGATTCCTGCTGGGCCTGTTCTACTTGCAGTTCTTTCAAGGGTCCATACCTCACAGTGATCGCAGCACGTCAGCCCATGCCCACTGGGTTTCCAGAGGTAAGGGTAGGTATAGACGTCATGGACCCACTGCCACCCGCCAAGAGAAGAAACCGATATACTCTGGTTATGGTAGACTATTTCACGAATGTAGCCGAGGCAGAACCCATGAGGACACAAGATGCAGAAATGATTGCCTTTGGTTTCGTCGGTAGGTCTATTTGTCAGCATAGAGTGCCCAAATCTGTTCATAGAAATGAAGGCTCAGAATTCGGAAGTCGAATTATTACGGGATTATTCAAGACCTTCCTCATCTCAAAGACATGTGGAGCACCTGGGCATCCGCAAGGCAATGCACAGGTGAGTAGAGCAAACTGCACTCTGATTAAACTACTAAAAGCTTACACCAAGGATGCACAAATGGAAGTCTGGGACATAAGTGTAGGACGTATTTTCCTAGCGTACACAGCTACAGTTCCCATATCAACTGGCGTTTCAACGGTTAAGATGATCACAGGGAGTAAAGTGTGGGTGTTTTCTGATATCTCCTTTCTAAACAAAAGAGTATCAACCAACTACACCCCCGCTTGCATACCCTATCTAAAAGGAGGCATAAAAATGGTATCATCCTACGTCTGCACTAACGACTTTCTCATTTTAGGCAGGGGAAATATTGTAATACGATGGTTGCTTTTCCCTCCGTATTGGCGAGAAGCCACTTTTGACTGGGCCTATGTATAGTGCCGGTGGGCTGGCCTTCAAGCTACGCCAGCAGCCCAAATACCTTTTTTGTACTAGTATATATATTCTGCTCGAGCATTATATCTTCTTTCGTCTTCAGAGAAGTCTTGGGACGCTACAATATCACTAAAAACACAGACGGATTAGCGTCTACCAAGAAGGACACTTAGTGCAAATATACAGAACAATTCTCCCACCTGGACTATGCCGTGAGTTTTATCACCCTTGGCAAAGGCTCTCCCACCCACAAACTACCTCGTCTGCAACGCATAACTATGCACAGCCAATAACCGTTCATGACATCATGATGCTTCCTACAAAGGTACACCACCGCTTGCATAAGAAGATGAGATTTGCGCACTAATGGAAGAATAAAATGCACTTAATGGCATGTTTAACGACAACTTATAATGGTAGCACTGGGCACGGTGCTAAAAAGACGAGGGAGCTATGAAACACTCATGTGGTTAAAATGGACCTCTAAGTTGAGAAGCGATTTGAAAACTTTAAGCTCGTAATGGGGGAGTGGTCAGAATTCATCGAGGCAGAGAAAAGCTTATAACCCCAACTTTCCCATATCAATGCTATTTCAAATTACCCCTGAATTAAAAACATGTCTTATTAAATCAAGCTGTCCCTTACATGGGTACGAAGGCCGGGAAGGGGGAGAAAACTGAGGAAGGTGCTACAATACATTAATGATATTTCTGTCACCTATATAAATCAAGAGGCCCCTTTCCTTTTAAAATCACACAATGCACACTTTTCAATAAAAAGGGGTTCTGTGTTTTGCTTTTTCATTTTAGAAATCAGTTTGCTAATATATCCCATACGACAATGATTGATTTATAATACTCATGCATTCCAGCAGACCAAGATTGAAAAATCTTTTGGTAAAAAGGTCTAAGCTGCTTTTTGAACTCTAGAAAACTTGTTAAGCTAAATAAGTCTTAAATGAGCAACGGTTAGTATATTTTGCCACTTTCAAGGTCATCGCGTGTATTTCAGCATATTATCTGTCGGTAAGGTGGGTTCTTTGCGGACTTTAACAACGATAGGATTTTGCCTAGATAGGCTTCATTTGTTAAAAAAGTGAAAAATTGTCAACAATAGGTTTTATTTAGTTGCAATAACGGTCTAGGCCTTAAATAGAACATGAGTGTATGTCTATGGTGTCGAATGTGATAGGCATCGAGGGATCAGTGAAGAACACCAAATTTGAAAGTGCACTTGCTCAACTTAGGAGTTGTTGTGGTGCAACCTGTGTTTTGATGACTTTACTGTGTTTTTGGAGAAAATTTGCCGTTAACCCTTTTCTGGAAGACTTTTCACAATTGCATGATTACAGTTGCAATCTCCAGGTTGGTGCAGTAGCCATGTTGGTAGAGTATATTGTATTTGTAGGATGCGGATACAGCAGTATTGGCTGCTGAAAGGGTACTTAAGTATGCCTCTCTCCACTGGTAAACTGGTTTGCTTCTTCTGCAACATTAGACAGTTTGAATATACACGACTCGAGGTGGTAAAGGTTCGGCTACCAATGGGACGTTGACGTGACTTGCTGCCTGAGTCTTTTCGCAAATCTAACAATGGAAAACCAAATCGAAATGTGCCGAACTTGTTCCACACGTTAAGGCTAAACTCAAGTGCTTATAGTATGCCTTCGCCACATTCTTTAGCATCCTCTACTTACATAAGATTTGAGAAAATTGCACTACTGATAGGGACATCCTACTGCTGGCTGGCCAGAACTTGATGCCATCAAGAATTCGTCCACTTTCTAGCATCTTATTTGACCGTGTAGATAAATGCAAAGCTGAACTATCAGCCAAAACATTAAATAAGTTTAGTTATATAACGTATTTTGGATTTCATTAATTGTTTTGCTCACTTTACTGTGTGCAAAAGAAATTTAGGATCTGATGACACCAAGACGCTAGCATTAATTAAAGTGCCTAACAATCTGAATTAGGCGACATTCCAGCCTTGTGATGCTCATTTGTTAGTCGAGTAATAAATTTCCGTGCGCCCTAAGGCCTCAAAGACGGCGCTATGTGAAGTCTTGTTATTTCTACAATAAATTAAGGGAATCTGCATGGGTAATGAAAATATTCATTGCAAGCAGTGAAGAATATTTCAAATAAGGCTCAAAACAGCCGTTTTGGAAAATGGTTCTTAAACGGTGCACCTAAGCAAATTTTCCTAAATTATAGTTGTTAACTTAATAATTTATCTTTACATATATTACTAACCGTGTTACTTGGATCTCTTGTGCACTAAATTTGATCCTAGATAGTAATACTTTAACCAAGCTGAATTCGCAGGTGTGGAAATGTGGCCTTCTCATTAACTAATCAAATACATAAATAAGGGAAGATGTAACTTTGAAACAAAAACCTGTGATTCCACATGGACAAGCACTTCTGAGGTCAAATGCTATGCCAAAAAAATTTTTTCGAAATAAGTCACAAGTTTTTCATCCCTGAATAACCCTTGCCTTCCACGTCATGCTCTGAGTGACCTCCCCTTTAAAAACGTAAGCAAAGTTCACTTTGTGCATTGTCTTGGGTCAAAAGCACGGAAACTGCCATTAATGTACCACATTCACATCATTGTAGTCCAATGATGACATTCACGTTAGAGAACCTGCAAAAACACCTACTATCCACCACATGTCAGTAAATTGGATTTAAGAGTCACTTCTACCGATTCCATCAGGGCATTGTAAAAGGAAAATTGAGACTTCACCTCATCAGTTAAATACTTGGATGTCGACACGTGCCGGGTTTGCTTTAATGCACCTAAGTTCGTAAGTGAGTAATTTTGGACTTTACCAGACACCAAAGACAAAGCTTTAATGCATAGAATGCAAATCAAATTGCAAAAGTGAACCACCCTAAAAATTTGAAAAAGGATATTGCATGTAACAGATGGTCGTTTTGAAGTAGAAATTGTTTACTGCAAACAAATGCATTTTTACCAATCGCATTTGTGTTCATCATAAATCAAATGAAAGCAGGACAAACATCTCATTGTCAGGTATTCCTTAAGACAGCTTCACAATCAAAACCCATCGAGTAAGTTGAAGTTCAAATTTTTTCATATGCTGTCAAACCCGAATTAACGTATTTTCTTACTTGTAAATAATCCACTATCACCACATATGAAGGTGCTGCTTATTGTGGAAGCCTTGCGGCGACAAGGTGCTACCTCGGACTAGCTGGCTGAGAAACCGGGTCGTACCATGATCACTTTTCTCCTCATTCTCAACCTGGCCATGTGGATATTGAAGACTTTCGAGTTTAAACATGCCGCCACCCATCCTCTCTACATGACGCACTACAATGAACTCCTCTGGAAGTTCATCATAAATGTCGCTCTTCCACTTATTGTCTTCTTCCATTTTCATTCCACTGTCTGTCTCGCTGATGTATGGAGTTGCACCTACCGATTCTACGGCACTGCATCTCTTAGGTGACCTATCAAATTTTTGGGAAAAAATATATTTATATAGTGCATAAATTGCACTTCTCTGAGATTTTTGCTTTATGGCAGCGCAGTGGATTGTTCGGTGAATTACGGGCATCATCCGGCATTTTGGATAAGTTGAGAGTGTAACTGCACAAATCAAGTAAAAGTGACCTTTACCTGAATCAACAAGATGAGCACATTGTTAAATCTTGATACACACAGATGAGCAGAACCAAAACCGCTTCATATACACATACATCACTCCTCTTGACCATACTTGATGCCGACTACTGAAAGCAAATTGTTGGAAATGGGAGAGGTAATGGCTAGGTTAATTAGTAGTGTGACATCCTTAAGCACTGCAAGTATGAAATCCGTTCATTGCAGCCAAATCCTTAAAATACAGTCTTAATTAGCTTAAGGTAAGTTAGTAAAGCATACATACCCTAGTAAACTACATAATGCCAATTGTTTTTAAGTTTTGGTATATGAATTTATACAATGTAAATTTTTTGAACTTATTGTCATGGTTTCCTTAGTTTAGACAAACTGACACCAAAATCACTCAACGTTGGTACGATACTGTGGTGACTTGATGTGTAGTCTAGCCATGTGTTGAATGACATGCAGGCCTGAGGCCCCAAATACTACACTTCTGCTCCGCGCTGTGGCCTTTGGGAAACGCTTGCCGCTCATCAGCCCTTGTGCTCCATACTAAAATTCGTCCTTTTGCACAACTTTAGATCATCATGATATGAGAAAAGATGCAATACCCCAAAAATCATCAACTCTCACTTCAAGATTGCCGAAGTGAAGAGATGACGCAATGATCAGAGAAAAATTAGAGCAATAAATATAAAACATGATGCAAGTAAAATCAAATGCGTGTCTCTTACATCTGATGATTAAATTATACAAAGTAAACACGAATGAGGGCCAACGCTTTGATAGTGGTGTCAAGCCTGTCCACCTGAACACACTTTTAGGGAACGCGCGACAAATTTACGTCAACTTCCTACAAAGTGAATTAGCATAAACTTTCCTTTTGACATATGCACATTATCCTAGTTCCACTTTGGCTAAGGAGTAATCCACAAAATATAAGCTTTGCATCAGTTATAAATTTTGGGTACTGAGTGGAAATGCATAAACCCGATGCGAATTACTTTAGTTAGGGAAAGTATATGACACCACATTTAGTCCGCTGTTAAATTTGACTGATATTTTGAAATTAAGTAGGCAGACAAGTAGACATTTGTACAGGCATCTGACACACTTCAAACAATGGAGGACATGCCAAAGTGAAGAAGCCTGTGTGGGTCGTGGGGGAGAATGAGCTGTATCAGCACATGTGATTGTTATGGCTATTATCAGAAAGGTAGCTGGCAGGATACAGGGACTCAATAAATACTTTGGTAAATAGGAGTAAGGAATATTTTGGATTTAGAAAGCACCGAAGACGGTGAGACTTTTTGTCATTGTATCGCAAAGCCCAAAATGTGTTCAAATTTTATGCTCTTTAAATTAAAATTTGACGTGACAGTAAGAGAAGCATGGGTGTTACTCAACAGACAATGAGTTGAAACCCTCGTAGGCGCAATTTCTTAACTGATTTCTGTCAAGTTGCATTTATAGTGTTGTGTTTTTAGAAAGCGCCTTTGCGAATTTTATGAAATCTTTGTTGGACAGATTCCGGGTGACTGTTATGTTGAAGTACCTATTATTACCTCCTTCAAACTTAACTTAGGAGGCATTGGTTTACGCAGGACCAAAAAATGTCCAAAATTATTTATTGTACGATAATCACATCAAAGGAATTAATTGCCACCGACCAATATTCTTTATGGAGCAAGGATCCCTAAATTATAATGTTTGAAATTTGCAATTTGATTCATTTGCTTAGCGCTCCTAACTCTGCTTCTAAGACTGTAAGGCATCCTAGAGAAATACCTCTGACTTGGGTGAATGAATTCTCATTTGTATTCATTTTTAGGATGTAACGTGATTAAAAGACAAGAAAGTTGCTCCGTTATTATTATGTTGAACAGAAAACGTGCATATTTATGCTAACCTCCCTTCGCCTTCCTCTTATGACTATTTATCTTTGAATAACTCACCTGAAGTTGATCCTATTGTTTGTGATTACTTGCAAGGCCGATGTTGCAATTTTGCGATGATATTCCTCCAAGGTAAAACGCTACTGATTTGAAGCTCCTGGTGCATTTTTTGGATCATGAGGAAATGGTATTGAACAATATATCACTACATCAAACTCCATTGATTCATTACATTACTTACATAATTAAGGAGGTTTTTATGGAATGGGAAGCCTTGCAACTGGAGGTGAATTTAAGAGAGAAAAAAGAAGTCAATTTAGTGACATAATTTCGTTTATGGTTTTCCACATAGATCCTGCCATGTTTACGGTATTAACTATCACCCTCTCCTAAATTTGCGAATGTTTGCAGAATGTTTTCATTGCCTAAAATTAGCAATAACCACCTTGTATCGCTAGGTAAAGGTCCTAGGTGTAGTGGAGCTCATTCCGTGGTTCCCAATGGCATTTCTACGTTCAATGCGTCTTTATGCTGTGCGGGTGCTTAACTCGTGAAACGTGACGGAATGGTACTGTGAAGACGACTTTTTGTGAGAGTTGTGAATAAATCCATTCATGTACATTCACACTTGTGATAGATCAGCGCTTTTGATCAGCATAGGGTGAGGCAACTAGTCGAAGCAGCGATGTGAAAAGAAAGGCCGGGATTTTCCAGATCGCACCGATTTATATGATTAAACTTGTCACTATTTTACAGTGTGTGAGCCAAACGAAAGTGAAAGTAAAACGAAAATGCAGAGGTTAGCAATATTTGCACAGGCATTTTTGTCCCATCTTCCGTGTAAATAATCAAAAGTAGAGGAAGGTGTATAGGTGTAGCTAAGATATTGTGCAAAATTAGAGTATTTAAAGCTTTGCCGAAATAAATGCGTTGACCTGTAATGATCGTCTTTTGCTGTCCATTCCAATCTAGGCCGAAGAACACAAGGTAGTTTACAATTAGCTTTTTCAGAAACGCACTCATCTGCCATTAATGCCATATGCTTTATATGCCAGTCAGAAGTTAACGTGATTTTCTGCTGTGAATTTGGCTCTCCTATTTCTGGTAGTCAATACTGACATCTGCACCTTGGTCTATTACATAAAACTCATTATGTTAGGTTTAGTTAAACGTGTATTTTTGACCATCTTACCAAAGACATGACCTTACAATAAAAATCTGAAAGAGATATCTGCCATCTTCAAATGCTTTGACAAAGCGTAGTGATTTACATGCGGTATTTTTACAACTAAGTTATTCAATTTAAAAATGCATTCTGATTGACAAAACTTAAACGATGCTGCATTTTCTGTGTTTTCCGAAATTTGAGTTTATTTTATTGCGTAGCGCAGTCACTTGCAAGCCGCTCAATTGTCACATTTGTGCGTACGTAATTTGTAATGGACGCTGCAGCCTTAGCATGGCCTAATGGCCCGTGACAATTAAATAAGCAATTTTTTAAATGTACCAACTCGTAGTAATTGCCATTTACACTGTAATCCGTGCAATCGAATACCAACTAACAATCTGCGTTTCCCATAAAATATACTTTTGCTTTTGAACGACATAGTGTGCATCATGATGTTTTTGGACATAATCAACAATTATTAATCTTACAGTTAAAATCCCTATTGCATATTACGCAGTTAAACTGACTCTGCGATGTATTATTAAAATCTACGGCACTTTGCCGGCTTTAATGAAAAAGAGATCAATGATAGCGTGCTCGAATATAATTTAAATTTAGAGGTGCACAAAACTTCTCATAATATAAGAATAGGAAGTATAGGTATGCAGTAACGTAAGTAACACTTTTAGCATGGTGTGCATGCAGTGAGATATTTACGTTACAGACTTATTTGACATTAAGTAACAGATGTCCTGATAAATAGCACACTATAAGTGAGGATGCAAAGGATCGGTTCATTCTTGGCGATTTTATGATATGCTAACCATTTACAATTAGCTGAGAAGTGACATTCAAATCGTAATACGTTATCCCACTCTAAAAAGTCCACTATGTCGCCCATGTTTCAGAAATGAAGAAACATTAGCAAATAGCAAGACAAAGAAACTAACGTCTTTAAATCGAACAAAATAGCAAAATAAAAAAATATGGAGGTTTATTGTGAGTAATAAGCTGAGTTCTGTGTTACTGTTTCCTTACGTATTCCAGTGTTCATTGACTAAAAACTTTCGAGTGGTAGATTGATCGCTGAGGCAACAACTTGTTGACGAGTTTTTCACTCGTGTGTTCGTTAATTCAGAAAATAACTTTTGCACAATATTTACTTCCATGGAGTTATTGTTTCCAAGCATACATGATTCGTCTTACAGAGTTGGCGACGTTTCTTTGACACTTGAAAAATATTAATAATTTGGTTAGCTGCAGGAAATGATATTGTGGAATGATTGAAAGCAAGAAATCAAGTAATAGTTACCTTAAGTCTTCAATTGGAAATGCCATAGTGCACATATATACTAGATGTTTCAGCACAAGGAGAAACGTTCTGTAACGCATCATTGCACATTTAGTAATTGACAGCAAACCTATCAGAGCGGATATTTAAACAGATTTAAAACACTGACAACAGCTAAATTCATAAATTGCAAAACACTGTTAGTTGGTTATTGAGAGTAAGCATCATTCAGCAAGCAACAAGTTATCTTTCATTTTATGCTTATACACTTGGCCTAAGTTAGCGTGAAAAAGCAAATATCTAAGAAACCGTGGGGAACACTAAATTTGGCTTATTATTATGGCTAATGGCTAATGTTAGCTTATAAAAAAGTAACTTTACAGCTATAAACACATGATGATTAGGTACTGCAAACATTAACTTTACTACAAAGTTAAAAGTCGTCTAAGCATACCGGACAGCCATACCCACATATTTTTTGCTTATAATTTCCAGTGATTTTCATTTGTTCTTAGGCATGCATGTCGATTCTATTCCGCAGAAAAATGATAATCATACTGTTAGTCTGAAAGGCGATTAGGAGATCAGGGACATCACATCCATTACCTCCTTACAAATTATTCCAAAATTTATGTCAGCATTTTGTAAAACATTAAAGGCATTGCAATCGTGACAGATGCAGGCACGCTTCTAAGCCATCACTTAGACCAAGCGCTTGTCTGCTCTTATGGTTCAACTGGGTTCTATTATTCGATTTGATAATTTCCAGAAGTTGAACATTAACTTTGTTTTTAAAGCTTGGTCACAAATGATTTGATTTTGTTTAATAAATAAATACCTTTAATTGAGTTCTCTTTGCCATTTCCATTAGCTGAAATAAATTCAGCAAAAGCGATTGCTAATCTTCACTTTGACTGCTTATACTGCAAGTAATTGCCTCGAGTAAATCCTAGTAAATGCTGCGTCTTGCCTGCTAACAGCCTATGGCACTAAACATGTTAAGCAATTTAGCGCATTCAGCTTGAATCTCAAATTTATAGCAAATTGCTTTACAACGGATGCTTTCTCCCTGTTTGTCTATTTCACAGAATCTTAATTACTACCTTTCCATCAAAGCAGCCAATTACATAGAAAATTTATAAATCTCTACAATGTTAAGCTAACGAAAGAAATGCTCTTCAAAAGTTGGATACAAAATTATCACTGGTGCTTTGATTTTAGTCGCGATCACCATCACGCCGCATTTGCGGCTATACGTTAAGGCCAGCCAAATGTGCAACAAGTAGACGTCACATTATCTTCTTCCCATTAAAGCAAAAAGGCTGTAGTATCAAGAGTCCTGGCTGAAACCGCATTAAGATTAAGCTTAATGAATAAAAATACATTATTAGGCAACACAAGAGCGAGAAGTCGATCAACACAGGATGACGATCATGCCGCAGAATGGAAGTACAACCTGTGGAGACCGAATTGCCCACCCAGGTTAGCAAGGGGTTAACAAATTATATGATTGCTAATATTCACTTTTGGGACCATTGGCTTATTTATTAATGTCAAGCACAATGCATTTTCTAAGAATGCAAAACCAGCGTGTTAGTAAAGGTAGTTCAGCATTGTCCTCCACTAAGACTTCCCAACTTTACCAATACTAAATTGCACCAATTACTCGGATTAAACATGTGAAAACGCATAACATTTGCAGGATTATTAAGCAGTCTTCGCATAAAGTAAATTCTTTATCCGTTGTGTAGGATTTATCGCTGACACTAAGGTGTCCAGTTCGGCACAATCCATTTAAAAGTCCCTGTTGCTACTCATATGATTTACAAGCTATGGTAGGGTGAGTATTTTTGTATAGGTAAGTTATGTCTCATCAAGTGGCCTAATACTGCATTTTTGTTTTCCGCAATGCATTATAGATCAGCCAAGCGATACTGAAAAGTGAGAAGCCCCGACAATGACATCTCAATCAATTGATGCGATGTCCAGAGTTGGTGACGTTGGATCACATAGTGAGAATGGAGCATTGACATTAAGAACTATATAGAGGTTAAGTGCTCCTTCATCCAACTAATTACTCTCTCGACTTTGATAAAAAGCGCATCCTTGGCGACATGTGCGGTTTGCTTGGTAGAATAGAATGCAAAGTAATTGCAATTGTCTCAAGTTTGAGCATTTCCGTGGCTTTGGTTGGTGGGTATAGACTTACCACTTCTCCAGCTCTGGTGTGATATTCGTTCACAGCCTGCATTCGATCTCCATTCTTAGTGCCCTATTTTCATTTTGTGATCATACATAATCAGCAACTCACTTCGCATTAGGTAATATTAACATTAGGAAGGAAACCCTCACTTTATACTACTACAAACAAGAAGCGATGCCATAATGAATTGGGTTGTAATGTAGAAATGTACCAATACAACATTCTGCATAGACACAATATAATCTCATCACAGTCAGATCTGTCCGCACGGCTGAACTACCTTATTCTGTAAAAGGCTGCTTCACTGCCTTCGTACTCCACGCTCACCGATGTTCCCAGGTGACAAATGCGCACAAATAATTGTTAAGTTCAGCGTTGTCACAAAAAGCCGAGTCTTTCTAATATTAATCTACTGCAGAACATCGGCAAAAGGACGAATACTTAATTAGTTGCCCATGTACACTCATCAATTTACTTAATAATTTATCGTGATGATAATCAGATAACGGTTATGAGGTACAGGCGTCCCAAATAAATGCATATATTTGGTGTTACATAAGGGTAAATCCTTCCTTAAGCAAAAATTTATATTATGTGCATTGTGGCCGCCGATTTACTAACCCAAAAACCTTATAATTAATTTTTAAAATTAACTTTAATTATCAAGAAAACAAGGGACAGTAATAAGTTGCCTTTATCTGATTGCGCCTGATACTATCGTGTTGGCAAACCATTCCTCCAAGTAGATGAGAATTTCTACCAAGCCTGGATGTGCTCTTACTTTCGTCAGGTAAAATTGTGGTGTGTAAGCTGGTAATTGCAATTCACTTCACTGATGCCAGTTGCAAAAGTGGACTTTTAGTGCTTTTATCGGAGTAAATCTTGGTAAGCCTACACGTTCTCTTTGCCCTTCGTAGCGTCAGCAGTAACTGCTTATTTTCGTCGTAATTCCTGACTTGGGCATATTTGGGACATGACCTAAGATAGTAGAGCTTATCGATATCTATTGGCAAGGTCTAAAAGGGAGAATTCGTATAGACTGCTAATTTTTCTAGTCAGCTGGAAAAACTTTGCTTTCTGACCTTCCAGCTAAACGGTAATGTTAACTGAGGTGGTGTCATCTTAGTGACAGTGACACCTTAAGCTCATTCGTGGCTTGGACAGTGGAGAAGGTGACCAAATTTCTGACCTTTAACAAAAAATGCATGTGATCTTTAATGACAGGGTTAAAAGAATAGCACATATGGTGAAGTGCTCAAAACATGCCCCAATAATTTTGCCACGTGCTCTTTTCATTGCTAGAAGACGGTAACATTATAACTTCCATCCACTTGTGCTTTTACATTGGCTTCTCCATGTTATCACCCATTTACGGCAACTACTTAATTGAGTGCACAGCAATCAGTCTGCAGAATAAAAGAAGCAGTCCTGCTTTAACCCTTACCCGGAACTTGGAGAAAATCCTTTTTAGCAGTTGTAAGTATGCAAAGGAATGATTTTTGAGGTTATAGTGTTTTTTATGGAGTCAAGTTTAAAACCATTCCGCTTATCGCTTATTACTGTGTTTGGCATATTTCGTGGCCTTCAAAAGCCCCATTGAAATGTTTCTTGTTAAGAAATCATTGATATTTAATGTCATATGTAGAAGTATCGTTTTATCCGAATGCGGCCTAAATCTCATGCAAGTCAACCGGCCAACTGCCCACAAATCCGTAGTCGATATGATTATCTCTTGTGCGTAAAATCATTTCTGTGAATATTTTGGTGTACCTTTGCTCTTTAGAATTAGGTAGTGAATAACTTTACAAGGTAGGACAACTCATCTGCATTCTTTTGCATACTGTTCATAATACCATAAGTATTTGCTGTTGAGACACCAAAGATTAAATTTTAGAAATGACTTGTTGAATGCTAACAAATAAGGTTTAATAAAATGCAAATTTGTGGCAGTGCAGCCTTTCCAGTCAAGTCCAATGAATTTTTTGGAGGTAAGCAGAAAGAGTCCTTTCCTCATCCCTATCGCCATCTTTCAGGCTTTGTTCTATACATGTTAAGGCACGCAAAGAATTAAAAGCCATCGAGTGTTAAGGAAGTATGTGACATTAATCACACTTGGACTCACACATAAATGACCCACTTGGGGATTCCAAACACCCTCCAAACTCATCCTAACACGTTTTTTAGGAACCATAAGAAACTTTAAAAAGGATAACTGGAGTCCTAAACATGTAGGGCTAATGAAGTGAAAGGAAGTTTATACGATGGTAAGGCATTCGCATGCTATTGTACCCGTGGCTAATTATAAAATATATATCAAAATATTTGAGGGCGAGGGGTAAGTAACAACACTAGACATCGCGTTGGAGGAAACTAGAACGTAAACAAATACAAATAATGATAAAATAAATTACACTTTACGAGCTCTACTTATTTTTAAATAAACAGATAACTGGTTACAATTTGACACTAATTTGAAAATCAAATGAATCCAATTTCGTAACAGCTAACAAGCCTTACATTACGAATTATCTTGCACCAATAGTGTACAGCTTTATAATAACAAATGTTTAATTACAAAAATAGTCGAAGACTCATAATTTTTAAGTGGATCAGTCCTTTGCCTCCTCCATTTAAATAAGTTAGGCCATATATCTACGAACTGAAAGGTGAGAATGAAGCTTGGTACATGGAGGAATGCCTACAGGGACGACTTGACCACATGTGCACATTCATTGCACCCCAATTTCCATTATTTGCAGAGCATTCCATGCAGTAAAAGCAGAACCCTGAATCTGCCGTATTTTGATCAGCAGCATATTGCACTAAAATATGAATTCTGAAGGTACTCGTGTGAAAAGGCCAAATTACTGTAGATCGAAAAAGCAATTTTCATGTCGTCAACTACAACCATCTGCACTCACAAATGCGGTCCCTAATGAAATGAATGAGGAGCAATTCAAAACAGTCTAATCATACCAGACACTGCGAGCAAGTACAGTGGTTTGTGCCCATTATCAAGTATTGCGGTATCATTTTCATTTTAGTTTTTGCAAACATATAAATGTAACAAGAGAACATTAAAGATATGTTTTGGATTTTCTTGCCTATTTGGTTCAACAAAACGGCTTTACTGGCTGCGAATGGCGTCAAGCAAATTGGACTTAATTCAGAAACCTTTTACTAAGTCACTTGAAATATCCTAAGCAACGCATTTGATGGAGGCATTAATTTGCATGTTATTTTTTTTTTTTTTTTTTTTTTTGGTTCTAAAACTTGCGATTGGTTACATCAAAGCATTAATTCGGTTACTTATTTAATCGTGGCGAAACTCATGCATTTATGCATGCTTTGCGAAAACAAACGACACCCACCTTGATAGCTACATTTCTTGTGTGTTCGAAATACATTGCAGTTGTTGAGTGACATAAGTCACGTCAAGGGTTCATTCTAACGAAGGGAGAGGTGACAAACGCCAAATTTCAAAATAGTGCTTGCACCTCACTCAGCTTTGTCCTCAGGTCCAAGCATAAGCAAGCCTCCAAGGATCACTGATCGCATATTTATTTCGGAAGCGCAAAGTAGGCATTCTTCCAGTAGACTGCATTAAATCCACCTTGCTTCATCAGCATGTTTTTACCTGCTTAACTTTAAGCTTACTTTCTCTTAACCTTGATCATAAATTCCTCTGATAAATAAGTTGTTCTGTTTTTTCTCCTCATGACAGGCAGCTTCTAGACTCATCTTGCCCGCATTTTTCGCCTCACAACACACCCACCTTGACGGCTACTTTTCTTATTTTCTTGGAATATGGGGCTGACGTTGAATGACATGGGGCATGTCGAGCAGAGACAAGTGATATATGCAAAATTTAAGAAACACTGCATATGCCTTACTCGGCTATTCCCTCGGGTCCAGGGATGAGCAATCCTCCAATCCTCCATTTAGTTAAGAATTTCAAGGCAAGCAATCTTCAGGTAGATTGCATTAAATCTGCTTTATCAGCATGTTTCCATCCATCTGATTTTGAACTTAATTTCCCTTAAGCATACTTTCATCCAATGGAGAAGTTTTTTCATAACAGGCAGTTCCAGGGTTCAGTTAAGCTACATTTTCTGGTCTTGCCTTAGAGGGGACACAATTCCAGACGTCAGGGACATTGTTCGAGTTAAGGCAGTTTATATGGAGAAGACCTTGAGGAAACCAGTGGCCTGTGGTTCCTGTGAAGAAGCTATCGGGCTCTAGGCATCTAAGCAATCAGGCGCACTGGTCTTTGATAGGCTACAGGACCCCTAACGTTCCAACTTTTCCCTTGTGACGGCTACTCAACCGACGCGTCTACTACCGCCACCGACTTCGACGCTGCCGCAACTGCTAATGTGCTCCTCAAAATGTGTGATTACGCCTAGTGTGTTTTCCAAATCCATCTCAGTAGCCACCTCCTCAGTTCCTAGTTGCAAAATCGGTGACAGAGACAAGTGGCAACACCAGTGATGGGCATATTTCGGAAGACTCGCGGGCGATTTTCCTGCAATATAAACGATCTCTTGAGCTGGCTGGAATACAAGCAGAAGCTGGACAGTAGTGGAACAAGGATAGGGAGTAGTAAATGTTAACTTTGTGAATGAATCTCTTTCATGATGAATGTGCCTTAGAAACAGAACGGCTATGTAACTTGCATTAGGCTTCCACAGCTCATCCGCAAAGCTGCTGTTCAAATGGAAAACTTGATGGGTAAGTCCATGTGATACCTAATTATGCCGGGACTCAGTATGTCTTGGCCTTTATCCCTGACAACTTTCCTTATTTAGGAGCTTTTACCCAATGCTCCGGAATGCACTCCACTCTTTGACACGGAAGAGTGACACATAGACTGCCATAGATGATATTATCAGAGAGGGGTATTGTAAATAGCGTTATTTTCTAGACGGGCTCCTTCGTTATCTACTTTGTGGCATGACGTCTTGTTTCTTTCATTTCTGTTAACTTTCCATCAACCCTTTGGGGAACTCATAATGAAGATTTACCTGGACCTGTGAGTATCAATATAATTAAGTGGAGAAAACAGTGGGGTGCAAAAATGAGCATCCAGGTTTTCTACTTAAAAAGACATGGAAACAATTTTTTTGCATACTTAGTTAAAATTTGCATTCTGCAAAACAAAACGAGGCACAGTAGGTTGCGGGTCGCCAAAGAAATCAATTTTGTGGAACTCGTACCAGAGACAAAAAATGACCTTAGAAAAGTTGTCACGACCAGAAGCATTAATAAAAAGGCAAGTCGAACCACAAAGACAACGTAGCACCATTTGGAAACGGGAAAGGTGAGGATACGAAATATCGGCCTTACTTGGGCGATTGAGGGGAAAGTCAAAGTCCGGGTCTCGGAGGGGGACACTGTAACAGAATAACTGCAATGTGGCTTCAATGTCATCGTCAGAAAAAAACATTTTGCTTATTTTTAGGACGACGAAGAGCGGTGATAATGATAATGGGGACGATTATATTGATGACAGTAGGGGTGATGATGGGGAAAGGTCGAAGTAATTGGAGAAAACAAATAACTATAAGGAAACGGATGCCATCTAAATATATAGTTTAGTGATTGGACTAAATCATTTGTAACAGCTATCAAATAATGCATTTCTGGCTACAACAAAGTCTGCAACCATCTATTTGTTTATTATTTGATGAGTGAATCAATGTACAATATGGTGAACATCATTGGGGAGAAGGATAATTATGTTGATGAATCGGTAGGGGGATTAAAATGATTAGATACGTGAATAGAGTTTTAGTAAATTAACTACAAATGAGGGAACGTGGGTGAAAGAATAAGAGGTAATTGAATGAATGATTGAATGAATGTGGGGAAATGTCCAGACGAATGAACAAATTCAGAGTGAATGGACAGAATGACTATGAGATAGATTGATAAGGGACATATATATATGAGTAGGCAGATGTGAAAGTGTCTGACTGCATCAAAGAGGAAACAATAAACGATTCCACTATGGAATGTCACATCCACTAAATCACAAATTTGCATCTAAACCATGTATAGCCCTCGACATTCCCCTACTTAGGACCAAATCAAATAATTCTTTCCCAATACGCTGATCAGTCACGTAAACCAAGTTTAAATAATCATGTTGCATCACTGAATTTGCCTTAAAAAGCAAAACTACAAATACCATGAGCAGATGGAAAGATTTTACATTCCAGTACGTCTCATTAAACGTTACATTGAGGACACACCAATGCAAAGCTTCTCTGATTCCAAAATTGGTTAGAATGGCTGATATCCAAAGACGGCTCATGATACGACACAAGATATGTCGCGACACGTGCCATACGATCGGTGTCCACGCCTGTCACTTGGTAACAAATGCAACACACAAGAGTGGAATGGGCTTACTGATGCTGTGCAACGCCAACGACGAGTGAAGTACAATCCGTGAGGTGTAAATGACAAAAAGAAATTGAAGATACCCACAGTAGGTGATAAACACGATCTCAAGGTGATGGTGAAACGTGCAGTATTACTACTTACGTCATGATGAGTGTTTATAATGCAACATCAACATTGTCAAATATTCACATTCAAAGACTTTTACCTTCGTCATACGCCCAAGTTCTTAGAACTTCTTTGCAAGTCAAGTGATTTTAACTTGACCGATTGAAGCACATGAATGTGCATTCTTTTAATGCCGCCTGGTGACGTCATGAGTGGATTATATCAGACACTTTATGAAGTTATTCACAGTCATGTATGCAAAAAAGGTGCCTACTGTAAAAGAAACAAGAAACTTGGAAGCTGTAGTCACTATCGAGAGCGAATGTAGTGTTTTATACAATTATTACTACTGGTGATTCATGGTGAGCGCTGCGACTGGACCAATATTGTACTCAAAACTCTTTTTTCTCAGGGTCAAATTTAGTGTACATTATTTGGAGAATGATAAGAGTTAGGGGAGAATATTCTCCCCATACAAAACGGCACAATATTTCAAGCCATTTTATTATTAGAACTAAACAATGAGATACAAAATCGCTCAGTGCGGTTTGGGTACAATATCAGAAATATTAGAAATAATTGTCTCACTTCGTCCCTTTGTATTCTCCTCCCACTAAATCACCAAGTTTATTTTAGCAGCATTTTTGGCATGCAGATGATCAAGTGCCAAGCACGGCAGACGTTCAGTAAACAATGCAAATATGAAAAGTGAAATGCATAGATAACGCAGACGTAATTGTTTGCTTGCTCCTTTGCAAGCCTTCACCCTTTTTGAAAATATAATTAAATTGAAATCAAAGATTAATTCGTGATTGGCCCCCATGTTTAAAAGAAATCCATTCTTATATTACTTGGTTTCAATTGGGGCCAAACAAACAGAGGGCGCATCACTTGCTTTAATTTTGGAAAGGCAAAAAGAATGGTAGATTGAATTAGGCGATTCACAATCTTCGACAGTATTCACCTTCACTTCTTAGCATCAGTAATCCATGTAAAATAGATGCACAGGTCTAACTGAACTTGTTTCTACTTGTATATATTTGCTTTTAATATTTGTGGGAGGGAATGACAAGGGCTTATTTTGTGCAGCTGAGAGCGCTGGCGTGTAGACTTGGCATCCTGAATGAGGTAGCGATCGTTTTAGTTTGAATGGTAGAGTATGAAGGAAGCCATGGGAACGCATCAGGCATGATGCTCTCCCACCTTATTCATGGTTAGCATAGTGTAGCATAGCTGCTACACATAGTCAGATGATACCTCCACACATCCCGAAATGAATGCTTCCCAGTTCGCAGGTCAGTTGTGACTACTGACCATCACATAAGTAGCAACATCCAGGTATCCTTGATCAGAAATAGCACCATAAAGTGTTTTCCATGACCCATCAGTGATCCATTGACACCGACTGGCATTCTAACGGCAGGAAATTGACATTAGGCTGCCAGACCACTTGGCATGCGTCAAAGTGTCCAACTTGTTCACCCTCAGGTGACCTTCGCATTCAGCACGCACTGTAAAAGTCGCAGCACTGAATGCCCTTATGTTTCCGTCTGCAGTTTAACGATTCCATTGGTCTTCGTTCAGCAGACCCTATGCTGCTAGGCATTCTCAAGTCCTAAATTTTACGTAACATGTCATTCTGTTGTATCAATGATATTGTGCACGTGCAAGAACTCATACAAGTGGCTGGGTGTCAGCGGTACCTCGAAGGTTTACAGTAAATCCCACCTACGGCACCTGCACTAAAGCGATGAGAATGGGACGGGACCATCACCAACACCAATGGATGCGGAAATTCTAACAAATAGCACTCGACGAGTGAACAAGTACTTCGACTTCACCTCCAAACCTGACTAACGCCATAGACGTGTGCCTTAAAAAATGTCCAATTTTCGAATTTTACCCCAAATACCGGATTGCCCTGTCAAGCACAAGTTCCAACGTTTATATGCACGATCCCAGTGCCTGTTGCCATACCAAACACTAAATGGTGAAAAAAAACAGGCGACCTAGACTCTCCTTGTCACTTATAAGTAGGAGGTGGAGATTCGCGGTTATGTCCGATACCCAACTTTCCGCTCCCTCCGGCGTGTGAGTTGTGGTGACCATGATCCCAACCGGGGAACATTTCATGCCTCTCTTAAAACCTTCCATGTCGAACGGTCACGTGAATGAGCTACGACCAACAGTGCTTCAATTTGCAAGAGAATATCCCCATCGAATTCATACATGCTGTGGTTCCTTGAGACTTTCCTCAAGACAAAAGAGGACATCATACTCGAACAGAACACGTATATTTGGCATGCAGTAGGACTTGAGGCCACTGGCACGGACCAGGGGCCAGCCCACCATGCAAAAGTATAGTGGCCCCTTTGACAAAATCAAAACTTAAACAATCAACCAACGTATTTTAAAGTCATCCTCTTTTGAGCTATAAAAAAAACACCCACAAATCAATCGTGCCACTCATCCAGCTTCCATGCAACTGACCCCAACATCACCTACCTTTCTTGGTATTACGACTGCATCCGCAGTTTTATCCTCTCTGCAACTGGATTGAGGGCATGGGGAAGGTGCTGGCCATCACGCGTGTCCATAGCTAGTTGTAGGAACGCTGGTCCAAGAGCAAACAAGTCAAACTACACAAGTAGGTGGAATACGTAGGAAATGTGAAGGCAAGAAGCAGCACAATTAGTTCTAAGCCACCGAAGTGGGATTTCCATCTACCCAACGGTACCTGCGGCAGGTGCAAAGGACTGCACCTCAAGGTGGGGAAGCACACCTCACCGAGGTAGATAAACAAAGAGACCAGTTGAATATATGCAACTAAGATATTTTCCAATGCAAAAAATGTACACTTATGCGCACTTGTAAAATGGCAAGTTCCTTCCTCCATTTATCCACACTCGCACTACTGACTGGTCCTTTCTGCCCACCACCTCATGAACGCAGAAATTACGACACCACATCGAACGTACTTTGCAGACTTCCAACAGTTTCATCAAAAACTCATCAGCAAACACTAATCGCCAAAACGCCCTTCAGCAGAGGTATAGTCGCGACGAAATACATGTCCTTCGCAGGCTCGGAGAGAATGTAGCTGGTACACCACTTCATGTGTTCATTCTTCTCAACTTTCCTTGACAGAATTTGAAGTTTCCACTTATTCGTCACCCATGTCACCAATCTCCAACGCGAAAGGCATCCCCGTACCTATCAAAACAAAATGAGATGTGGATAAATAATTTTAAACATGGTGAACTACTGCAATAGTCTTACCAATCGAGTCAACGGATTGACAGCTAATCCAATGGTGGCGTAGGCTGCATGTCGACGTCTCGAGTGTGGCAGATTCCTTACTACCTCGGCTTGTGTTTGTTCAAATTGCATCTGCTGATGTTGCTGAATATGCGATCACGTTCATTAATGTAGAGGAGCATACGCAAGTACCCTTCGGCGGACACTGCAGCTGTATCCACACCCCATAAACCCATCATATCCTACCAATATGGATATTATAACAATTTGGACAATGCAACCGTCACCAAGAAATCGTGAAAAGACAAGTAGCGAATTCCCACTGAAAACATGCACATCAAATCTGCCAAGACACAAAATGCCCCTTAACAACTCCTAAGTTGAAATCTATTCCCATCTGAGCAAAGCACAGAGTTATAATAAAGTCCAATTTTAAATCTAGTGTTCCTTATTAATCCCTCGTATCTAATCAGATGCAACATCACAAACAGGTTTATTCTTCTTGGTCTTGTAGAGGCAAGACCATCATTGACATCAGGTAGGGACTAGAAATCGACTGTATTTCCGACCAAAATCCTGCCGTTAAAGCCTGCAAAGAACTCACCAAACCAGCAGACAAAGTACTAAAATGCAGACAATGACCTTGAAATTGACTAATTAAGCGAGCTGTTGCGAAAGCTTTTTTGGTATAAAATAAGTTAAATTTACGGTTAATTTTTTCTGTCAAAACAGACCTAACCTTTCTACTAGCATTTGAAAGTCACAAATGACTCAATTTTGAAAAAGCAGATGCTAACAAACCGTTTAACCGAAGGGAAAAAAACATCTGGACACTAAAAAGTGCTGACGCTCAAGTCTTCACTTTCTTCGGATGTTACGGATAATATAAAGTGGCAGATTAGAATAGCATTTGTTGCTTTAGATATATTTTGGAAATGATAATTTTTGCATTGAATCGCGTTGGGGAACTTTTATTAGTCCGGGGGCACTGGAATCAGCACCGACTTAGAGAATATCGGGTACTGATCACTTCTTTGTACCTGGTAATTCTGACCACTCCTTCTCTACGAACTTGGGGTTCTCGGAATGCTCCTCTCAAAAAGGTGCATTTAAACAGCATCAGTATGACTTTGCCTCCTCGTCTTCTGACATCGTGCCCGCAGCTCCCTTAGGTTCCGTATACCCTCGAGGTGTACCGTTGAGATGAATACAACTTTAGCTGAATTGCATTCATAGTAAACATCATGCCTGCACGCTTTACACTCAATGCAGACTTGATCCCCTGAAGGTGTCGGCAATACGTCATGTCGAGATGTGTGAGAAAGCTTTTGGCGAAATTCCTGGAACTTCGAAGAGAAGATTCTGACTGTGGGATTGAGGACATCCAAAATCCTTACGTCTAGGCACACCCTTCATGTGCTCGTAAAATTAGTCTTTTTAGTAAACAAGTGACGGCAGGAGATGCAAATAAAAGGGTGACACTTCTAGCAAAACTTTTCCCTTATCCTTTGATTGCTTATTTGCAGAACTTCTGGGTTTTCAAAAAGTTATCATGTTTCGGTTTAAACGCTCAGAGTAGATAAGTGTAACTCACCACAATGCGCCGCGTTCATGTGATCGCTAAATTTGCTGTCCTGAGAATGATATCATACAGTCGAGGCAGATGTGGTTCCTCATTTCGGCATTCCTCAAATTATCTTTTCGCGACAACTCTCCCTTACTCCCTTCTGGTACGTTTGCTATTCACTGTAAGAAAGTCGGCGTCATTTGGCAAGCTATCGTGCTTGAATCTAGTGTGAATATATTTAAACCGCGCAGTTTTGCCACAAGTAGCATATTTCACTGCAGCTAATTTACATGCTTGCCATACTCACACATAAAATTTGCAGAAAAAAGACAAGCAAAGGGCATTTGTATGTCACGAAAAAGTTGGGTAGTTATTAAGTTCCTACATCCTTTTGCCTACTTTACAGGCTGTACCACCATTCCAAATTGATGTGTAGCCTGTCACAATGATCGCCTTAAATCCACCTTAGCACGTCATCTTCAAATGTGAGTTGGAGAACGGTAGAGGTGGTTTGGAAACCTCTCAGCCAGTCGGATTCTTCACAATTATCAAGTGAAGTTAAACATACGTATAAGCAGAGAGGGCATGAGCCACGTCAGCAAATACTCGAGACAAGTGATTCTTCTCGAGAGGGTATCAAATAATGCCAATGACCCACCATATATTGTGAAAGTAAACGGCACCAGTTTGGTGATAATAGAGTCCGTATCGAATTCCCCACTGCCAATAGCAAAGTGGCCACCTTCAAACTATAATTTGAATGATAACGATTAACTTCGGTAGCTATACAAGTTTATTGCAAAAAAACAAAGGCATTCACAGTGATCCCTGTACAACATCTTAAACACGCTTGCAGCTGCTGCAAAGTCAGGTCAATTTAAAATTGGTAAAGATATGAGAACAAAAGAATGATGACAATTAGAGCACTGGCCTCGTTCCTAGTAAATGTCTTTTCGGAAGCTTTTAACATCTGTACATACTGGATGGGCTCGTAATAGTGCCCGTGCCAACATATACGCATGTTGTTGTTGACTGGTCCCCTGACAGTGCTTATGATGTGGTGATGTGGACGAGAATGGTGTGAATCTGATCAAACTAACAACCACACAGTCGATGGATTGTAGAAGAATTGGTGGAGCAAATAGCCTTACTACCAACGTAATGAGCAAGCCAAGAAAGCGCTGACAGTGTGTACATGCCTAGAGGCTAGAGGGTGGATGCCGCCTGAGTCTCAGTCAGAGTGCGGCTGAGCAGCGGCCGAGTCTGTATGTCAGTAAATTCAGTTACACTTAATTATAACATTTACATGACCTTGGACCAAAACCCGCCATCAGTACAGGTAGAGTACACCTAGCGTACATCCACACACCATACATGCATCACTCCCAGTCAGGTCAGGAGGCAGTGAGCAATGAAAACGACATTCAAGAGGGCTTAATGATTGGGAATTAATTGGAACTCTTAGGAAGACGAATAGGCGCGTGTTGCTGAGATTGAAGGATTCCCTGTGCAGTTCATAATGAAGCATCAACTTACGGTACAAATGAATGCAAACGAATGTCATTGTAGTTTGAACCCGCATTCACGATTTGGGCAGTTTCATAGGAGATATGCACCACTGCCCTCCCATTTGGGCAAAAGTGTTGCAAATTTACCATAGATTTTGTTCTAGTTTCAGTGCACAGCTAAATGCTACTCAATTGCATTTGGACTCTATCAACTCCCAAATTTCATTTAATGAGCAGTGAGAGGTAAGCCGTATCAATTACGAAGGCCAGAGTATCAAATAGGGGCAGGAGTAAATATTGTTTGTTTGCAGTTGATTTATTTTAAAGCACTTTTGGTAAGTGCGTTTCCCCATACCTTTTTATCCCCTTGTGTAATCCATCGTGTTCGATGAGATCGTACCTCAATCAGCACGAAAATCATGCGACTGTTATGTAATTGTAGGTTTAAGTAGTGCACTTGAGGCTACGAATCCATTTTAGTTGGGTTATCTGTAAAAATCCAAAAGCTGCCTCTTAGCGGTGGTGCGGAGTGGAGCCCGTGAAAGTTCAGTCGCTTACACAGTAGTGGTGTTAATACATTCGAGAGTGGAACTTACAGGATCTTGAATGCAGGATGAAAGTTTGTTCTGGAACATTAGCATAGGGTTCCTTAGACCCTAACAACTGATCTGACTTGTTGAAATATCTCATCAAAATGAGCAGCACTTTTGAAACTGTCGTATTTACAGTTTCCCCCTTTGTAGCAATGGCATGTAAATGACACTTTGCCTGCAGGCGACTACTCAGAAGATGTTTGAGTTACTTTTGCCAGCACCACTTAGGGGCTAGATGCGTTTCAAATTTAGTAGAGTGAGATTTCGCACTACAAGTTTGCTCCCTAAGGTCAAACAGTATGCCGCAAGCATGTTCCAGATGGATAGATTTGGAAAAAGTAATTAATGTACCTTATTGGTGCCTCTTACTATGTAAAAGCTAACGGCGTATTCACAGGTGATAACAAACATAAATACTACAGATTGCGATTATTTTCCAGCATCCCAGCTAGTCTTACTAGTCTTCAATATTGCATCAACACCTATGTCAGGTGAGGTGAAGGTGCCACTGGTTTTGAGACTAATCACCTCCAATTATTCGGGTGCCTAATAATCATGTCTAGGTAAGGCAACAACTAGTGGAGTAGTTTGGAAGCAATCATCAACAATATTCGTTGGACATGGTGCACAGAAATTGGGATTATGGTGCTGATTAGCTATGCAGATCCTTCCGTTGTTTCGGTAAGACAAAACTTGGTAGTAGATTATGAACCTCCCACGCCTAAACAATGGGTGCTACTGGTCAGTTGAAGAATTTGAATTTCAAAACCTCTGCTCCGTTTTCCATTGTAAAGCCAAATCATTTCGAGTCAGTAGAATTGGACCAAAAATGACAAAAGAAAACAAAACGTGACTAATTTCTGTATTTGTCTGTCAACAGTTAACCACTATCCGATGTCGCATTGTTAATGTTAGTTGGCACCGAATGAATGGCGACTGATGTATCCTCCGCACTATGGAAGACTGTAGTGGAAAAAGATTTGCTCAGTATGCACAGCTCATTGGCCGTGATAGTTTACATGGATGAAGCAGTTGGTAATTTACATTAACTCACGCAAAATTTTATTTCAGGGCTACCGCCATGCAAACAAAGGCAATTCCAAATGTCAAGGGAATTCGGACAGACCCACTAGTCGAGAAGGAGCTTTCTTCCTCTCCTACGCAAAAAATATTCAAATGAGGACATTATGTAAAAAATTAAGGTTGCTCAACTGTAAACTGTGTGGAATCGAGCACCAACAACTGCCATGTAGTAAGTAGCTCAATATGTGCTCTTCAACTATGATGCAGAAATTGTCACCAGGAGAAGGAGTTAATGAGTAATACCCCTATGATGTGGAGTTTGCACATCGTAATCACAAGCACCAGCTTACCAGTGGGTGGTGTTTCAATTGTTCCGACGTAAGACAAAATGCTGACTGCACCTCGAAATGCCTCCACATGTACATCGTACGAGGTGCAAGGGTCCATTTTGTCGAGAGTGATTGCTCCAAATGAAGAGTTTGCTATTTTATGGATAGGGGGCTGCGGGGGTTTAAACTGTACTACAGTTACTGCAATTTGGTTTGCGAGAAGTGCATCCATGCTTTCCATGTCCCAACTTATCTGATAGGTCAGAGGACCCACGAGACTCAAGTTAAAGTAACACGAATTCCAGAACTCGCCTGTTCTTTCGCATTTGTTATCGAAACTCCTAAAAAATACTGCAAGAGTTGTTATTGTGCAAACTAGTTTAGGCTTTCTTTTCTGTTAGTTAAGAAAATACAGAAATTTCCCCCTGACACGATGAAAATAGTAGCAAAAAAATAGTAGTAGTAGTAGCAAAAAAAAAATAGTAGTAATGCGACTTTACAATATTCATGTCTTCAAAATACAGCATTTAACCCCTTTTTTTCACAAGGGATGAGAGTTATTAAGGACTACCATTCAAAATGGAGCTTAACATCATAATAAGATGTGCATGTGTTAAGTATGTTTGAGAAGTTAGCCTCTTGCACATCTTACATTCCTTTTATATTTTCTTCAGTCAAATTTATGCGTAAAAGCTTCATGCGACTAGACTTAGCGATTGTTGCCTACAATGTACCTCCACATCATTTGTTCACCTACTCAGTGTGCACTGAAGGGTTGGAGTGGAGAGAAAACAAATGGCGATGCCTCGCTCATATCAAAGTTGGCATTGGGAAAACACATATGTTAAACAAACTGAAATCTGTGTAGAAAACGTTTGTGCTGGTATATATAGAGCGTATTTGGGTTGGAATTTGGGGTGAAGTTAGTAATGAGACAGCAGTATCACGCCTCTCTCACTGGTAGGTGGCAGTGTGGCATTATGCAACAATCATTAAAAACTAGGGGGAGTAGGAGGGTTTCAAATTTAATAAGCGCTGCTCAATGGAAATGTGCGTATCATGGTTTGAAATGAAAGGACTACACCGATGCAACAGGCACTATTATTTGTCAAATGCTCCTTCGTGTACGTTGAGCAGAGTCATATGACAGAAGGCATCTTACCACGGTCACCCCTGTTTCCAGTAGCCAAAATGGAGGTAGCAAGCAAAATGAGCCAAAATTGAACCGCCATTGCTACTTTACAAATGCTTTGTGTTCACAATCTGCGACACACTTTATAGAAATGCTCTGCACACACATATCAGCCTATTGGATACCGTGCTCTTGACCTGCAAGACAACTTCTGCATTCATTCAATGAAAGCTAGCAGATGTTGATTTGCCTTAGTGATTCCACCTTCAATTTCTACACTCGCCAGCATGGACATCCACAGCACAATCATGTAATTAAAAGCGGAGTTAACTTTTGCATCACTTTGAACTTAACTATTGTGTGGAAGAAGTGTTTCGAAATCTATACCACCTTGGATGTGTCCTTTCCTTATTGAAGAACTCGTCACGATTGGGGGACCGGAGTGACTGCAGTTGTGCCATGCCACGACTTCCGGCATTTGAACTGCGGTCAACTGAAAAATTGGCAGACGACACTTTGGTTGGCACTGCATTGTGTCAAGGGAACGAGATGACCACGGTGAACGAAGGCAGTAAAAGATATGGACATCACCGGAGATGCGTGCTATTTGACTTAGTGAGTATAGCGTATTTTCGTAAACCATTTTCGCAGGGCACCTTTTTACTCTGAATTCCAACATTTCTCTACCGAGTGTGTCGATGAGATGCATACAGATGCACAGGTATTATGTATTACTTCACCATTCATGGTCGTCATTTTGAGCACATCTTATGGAATCTACAAGAAGGCAAGAGGTGGAATATGAAGCAAACGATATACAGTCTTGTCAGGTGGGATTGCGGTCACCGAAGACGGAGCAAAACAGGTGAGCGCATTGCCAACACTAACCTACTAGACGGACCTCCCTAGCCTCTTACGGTTGGCATATCACCACAGGCTTTTCGTTGAAGGTATGCTAATATTGCTAGCCCGCTGCATAAGTTAATAAAAAAGCAGGTGAAAATTTTTTAGGGGAAAAAAGCAATATGAAGCCTTTAAAGAATTAAAATGAATGCCCTGCCCTACACCGATTCCAGCGTTGCCCCACCGTTTGCACTGCATGTGGAGACATGCGACGCAGTCGTAGGCAGTGTACACTCACACAGGGGCAAAGATGGAAGGTAGCACGTCAATGCCTACTCGTGTGACTGATTCAGCGAAAAAGTGTGATGTAACAGTGCAACATAATGCGAGCTCTAAGCTACCATCAGGTACTACCCGATGACGAGGAAATTCACAATGAGAATGGGTTATTAGACGCTTACCAGGTTTAAACAGTGAAGGTGATAGACCTTTCAGCTGCACATTAATAGAAAGAACCGCAAAAATGCAGCTTCAGAGAACATAGAGAGAGGGGAATGTGCATGGTAATGCGGAAGCTCCAGCTAGTAAACCAGGTCAGGCCAAAAAAGGTGTTGTTGTGCGTGCCATAGTCTTAGGCGCAACTCCAAAATAACATTAAAAATTTAAAAAGAACCAATTCGAAAAAGTGTTCTGGTATGTGAGACTTCCCTCACATACTCTTATAAGCCCGCAGTGCAAGAAATGACCTCTTCCACCATGGTGGACAGACATATAAGGCAAGAATGGCGCAGGGCTCTCTCTAGAGACTAGGGTTTTGCGGTATTAAATAAATGTAGGTTCTTCTAAGGGCCTTGTAGACCCAGACTCATTAGTACAAGAAGGAATCCAAAAGTTGCATGTGCATCTGGGCGATGTGGGTATAAAGAAGATGCCAGGTGCCTCAAGCAAAAGATATCGGTGGCCTTCGCTCTCCCGAGACATACTTGATTCCTGCTGGGCCTGTTCTACTTGCAGTTCTTTCAAGGGTCCATACCTCACAGTGATCGCAGCACGTCAGCCCATGCCCACTGGGTTTCCAGAGGTAAGGGTAGGTATAGACGTCATGGACCCACTGCCACCCGCCAAGAGAAGAAACCGATATACTCTGGTTATGGTAGACTATTTCACGAATGTAGCCGAGGCAGAACCCATGAGGACACAAGATGCAGAAATGATTGCCTTTGGTTTCGTCGGTAGGTCTATTTGTCAGCATAGAGTGCCCAAATCTGTTCATAGAAATGAAGGCTCAGAATTCGGAAGTCGAATTATTACGGGATTATTCAAGACCTTCCTCATCTCAAAGACATGTGGAGCACCTGGGCATCCGCAAGGCAATGCACAGGTGAGTAGAGCAAACTGCACTCTGATTAAACTACTAAAAGCTTACACCAAGGATGCACAAATGGAAGTCTGGGACATAAGTGTAGGACGTATTTTCCTAGCGTACACAGCTACAGTTCCCATATCAACTGGCGTTTCAACGGTTAAGATGATCACAGGGAGTAAAGTGTGGGTGTTTTCTGATATCTCCTTTCTAAACAAAAGAGTATCAACCAACTACACCCCCGCTTGCATACCCTATCTAAAAGGAGGCATAAAAATGGTATCATCCTACGTCTGCACTAACGACTTTCTCATTTTAGGCAGGGGAAATATTGTAATACGATGGTTGCTTTTCCCTCCGTATTGGCGAGAAGCCACTTTTGACTGGGCCTATGTATAGTGCCGGTGGGCTGGCCTTCAAGCTACGCCAGCAGCCCAAATACCTTTTTTGTACTAGTATATATATTCTGCTCGAGCATTATATCTTCTTTCGTCTTCAGAGAAGTCTTGGGACGCTACAATATCACTAAAAACACAGACGGATTAGCGTCTACCAAGAAGGACACTTAGTGCAAATATACAGAACAATTCTCCCACCTGGACTATGCCGTGAGTTTTATCACCCTTGGCAAAGGCTCTCCCACCCACAAACTACCTCGTCTGCAACGCATAACTATGCACAGCCAATAACCGTTCATGACATCATGATGCTTCCTACAAAGGTACACCACCGCTTGCATAAGAAGATGAGATTTGCGCACTAATGGAAGAATAAAATGCACTTAATGGCATGTTTAACGACAACTTATAATGGTAGCACTGGGCACGGTGCTAAAAAGACGAGGGAGCTATGAAACACTCATGTGGTTAAAATGGACCTCTAAGTTGAGAAGCGATTTGAAAACTTTAAGCTCGTAATGGGGGAGTGGTCAGAATTCATCGAGGCAGAGAAAAGCTTATAACCCCAACTTTCCCATATCAATGCTATTTCAAATTACCCCTGAATTAAAAACATGTCTTATTAAATCAAGCTGTCCCTTACATGGGTACGAAGGCCGGGAAGGGGGAGAAAACTGAGGAAGGTGCTACAATACATTAATGATATTTCTGTCACCTATATAAATCAAGAGGCCCCTTTCCTTTTAAAATCACACAATGCACACTTTTCAATAAAAAGGGGTTCTGTGTTTTGCTTTTTCATTTTAGAAATCAGTTTGCTAATATATCCCATACGACAATGATTGATTTATAATACTCATGCATTCCAGCAGACCAAGATTGAAAAATCTTTTGGTAAAAAGGTCTAAGCTGCTTTTTGAACTCTAGAAAACTTGTTAAGCTAAATAAGTCTTAAATGAGCAACGGTTAGTATATTTTGCCACTTTCAAGGTCATCGCGTGTATTTCAGCATATTATCTGTCGGTAAGGTGGGTTCTTTGCGGACTTTAACAACGATAGGATTTTGCCTAGATAGGCTTCATTTGTTAAAAAAGTGAAAAATTGTCAACAATAGGTTTTATTTAGTTGCAATAACGGTCTAGGCCTTAAATAGAACATGAGTGTATGTCTATGGTGTCGAATGTGATAGGCATCGAGGGATCAGTGAAGAACACCAAATTTGAAAGTGCACTTGCTCAACTTAGGAGTTGTTGTGGTGCAACCTGTGTTTTGATGACTTTACTGTGTTTTTGGAGAAAATTTGCCGTTAACCCTTTTCTGGAAGACTTTTCACAATTGCATGATTACAGTTGCAATCTCCAGGTTGGTGCAGTAGCCATGTTGGTAGAGTATATTGTATTTGTAGGATGCGGATACAGCAGTATTGGCTGCTGAAAGGGTACTTAAGTATGCCTCTCTCCACTGGTAAACTGGTTTGCTTCTTCTGCAACATTAGACAGTTTGAATATACACGACTCGAGGTGGTAAAGGTTCGGCTACCAATGGGACGTTGACGTGTATTGCAGCAGTTGATGTAACCCCTTGGCGTCTGCTGTTAGGACTTCCTCAAATACCCCGAACCTTTTTCCGATTTGGAGTCAGGAGAGATGACATTTACAACCCTTGATGGTGAGTCATTCAATTAGTTGAATTTTGTTGATCGTCCACAATCCAATTGAGGTTTATGTAAAAACCCAAATAAACTATGTTTGTATCCTGCCTCAACTCTCTTGACCGAATATTTTGGATAATTAGTTTTGTATTCACAGTTGGATTACCGTGAAAAGATCTGCATACCAGGTACGCATCCTTCTTCACCGTCCTACTGCAATGCCCGGTTTACCTTTTTTGGCAGTAACATTTTGTCCCAAGATCATTTTCATAAAATCAGCATGAGTGACATGGTGGAGGCCATCTGGCACTGGCAACTGAAATATTATTCACTTATCGTTAAGGTGGGAGGACATTCGTCAAGAAGTAGATTTTGGTTGTCGGTCACTTACTGTGGGTTTAGTTACTTAAGAGTAAAATTGAAGCAATGCAAAGTAGCTTTCCAGAGTTATATGTCGAGGTCCCTTGTCCTTGTCTCTTCGTAGTTATTCCAATGCTGTCTGATCCTCCACCTTGGATGTAGTTAGGGAGGTATCGAGAGTTCAGATTATGGCTGCGATTTAAGGTCGAGATTTAATCCTTTTGGGTAGATTTTACTGCGAGGGCTTGCGGTTATTTTGAACGTGGTCTCCTCCGTTGCGCAGAAATGGAGGTTGGAGTGAAGGATAAGAGCTGAGGCTGTTTTTGATGACCCCTCTAATGGAGGTCACCACGGCTTCACCGAAGTTGGCCCTCTTTTAGTGCACTCGCAGAGGTGATAGTCTGGGCCTTCATGCCTAGAAACAGGTTCGTTGGAGCGCACAGAGGTGCTGAGAGATAAGTGGCACAGGTAACAAGTGAAACCTTTAGTTCTGCTGTAATATAGTGATTTTGCCAGTAATACGTCAGTATTGCGCTGTAGAGTGAGAATTTCTCCTGAATTGGAGGCGTTTCCTCTCTCATCAGTGAGCTCAGTGCCGAAGATGTGCGTTCTGAAGGACGTTAAATGAAGTCCGTTATTTAACTGCTCGGGGGCAGTGGGCGCCAATTCGAAACTTTAGAAGGCCATGCGATGGCTACAAGTAGACGGTGAACTAATGCTGGGGGTGCCTTCTCACGCACTGTCGTGTTTCTCGACGCCAACTGCTCCTCATCACCTCTCTCTGTATCTCTCCCGTCGATGATATCCATGTTGGCATCTACTGCTGCTCTTCGGAGCCCCCGTCGAACAATTCGACAGCAAACCATTCCAGTGCGCCGAGTATCGTCTCATCGTGGATGGTAAGGATGTATGCCTGTCTGCACACATCATGTTTTTTCCTCCCAGGTTAACCCTGCAGATGGTTAGAAGTATACAGGCTTGAAGGGAGAAGTGATGTGAACGTGTTAGCTTGGATGGCATAGGCAAGCCCATAAAACTGCTATGCGAGTCCAAATGTGGGAGTCCTGAAATAATGTGGTAGTCAGTTATACAACTGAAAATGACCGTCCGTCTGTTATAGCACCCTTCTTAGCTGATGCCTTGAGTTTGGACATCAAATGGGTGGCTTTATTTCCTTCATAATTGGTTGTAGTTTTGACCGATTGCCCTTTGGTAGGATTTTGGTCAAGAGTAGCATGCTTGAATTTGCTTGTGGACGAATGTCGAAAATACGAATCTGGCAAGTTGCTCTTTGACTCACTTCAGTCTCCATTAAATTTTAAGGCATTGTAAATGATGTATTGTTTCACAGAGTGGGAGGAAATTTTGCTTACTTTGGTGATGAAAATGCTGCTTAGTCAGACAGTTCATGCGTTAACGTGGAGGTACGAATTTGTGATTCCTATGATGCTACCTTCTGGTTGGTGATTGGCTACCTTTTGTCGGTTGCTTTATTATAATCTACGCTAAACATCGGTTGACAGTAATTCTCTGAACACAAATGGGAAATTCCCATATACTTAGAAATGACTTTGATTGTTGGCGGTGGTTTGTAGAAAAATTGTCAACCATTTCTAAGTTGTTCTTTGCCCAGTTTGTACTGTGTCAACGGTGGTCAAGTAGGCCCTAACGTGTAATTACTCTTTTTTGCACTACAGATATAAGAGCTTTTGCAATCATAAATCTTATTGACTATTTTGGTTGGATTTTTCACATGATAAACGGTAGTAATACCAGTCTCGCCTACTTTTGCACCATATTCAGCTCTCAGCATTAACATATCTGTGCACTAAAGAAGCTGAATCTCAGCTTCCAAGGTAAAGCCAACCGTGAAGCCAAAGCAGTGTTGACCTTTCTTCCACTGATTCTTCACATAATAAAAGCCACTTCTTTTTTCTGACAGATCTCAAGCTTGCCCGCTACGGGCTTGAGGCGAACCGCGGCAAGGTGGTGTCGGTGACCCATTTCGTGAAGCGCGAAGGTAACCTTCAGTGGCGCGGACCTAACGGCGAGGTGGTCGCACAGACCCACCACACTGCGGCGTCGAATGAGACGGGTGGGGGTGCAGAACCTGAGTCTTTTACTATTCGAGGTGAATGCTGAGAATGTCGGCGACTACCAGTGCCAGTTCCAGCCAACTGAGGGGGAGAGGCATGCGCCTGAGGCGTTCATGCTAAATGAGGACATTAGTGCATTTCCACATGCGCCAATTTTTTCGTTGTTCGCAGATAGAACCGACTTCATCTTTGTTTTCCAATGAAGATATTTCTTTGAGTACAAACATTTTGCCATATGTATTAAAAAATAGCTGGAATGGTATTCGGGTAAAAGGGCTTTCCCTTGAGAATCTGTGATTGCATCATCCTTCCCCCAATTGGCGTGTTCCAATCCCTCTCGTAGTTTGGTGGATGAATTGAAAGTTATATTCTCAACTCAGACTTGCTTGAAATAGCATATTATGCTTTTTAAAAGATAGGAATCTAGTCTGCCCATAATGTACTGCTCTGTTTTGGCCGACTACCTTTTATAATAGCACTCCCAAAGTTTGATCCTTTGAAAATGGCGGCAAATACTTTTTTTATGGAATTCGGTTCTTCCTTCTCGGAGCGCTCGCCTTCTTTTGCATCCCCTTTCAGTCCTCTAGGTGCGCTTAAATACCTCGCCTGTGAAATATCTTTTCGGGGCAAGTAGAAGTTACTCCTGTACCATTTTGATGGAACAGTACCGTTAATGGGCTGCTTAATATGATTCCTGGTAGAATGCGTTATGCACAATTATTCTTGGTGAAGTGTTCAGAGTTACAGTCGGTTTTATTCTAGCCGAGATTATTAACTGCATTAAAATATACACTCACGTGCTGGTGTCTATTCGATTTGATTCCATGTAACTCGCTTGCTTCATAGACCGGATTTCGTCACTTTGTATTTAGCAGTTTAATTGATTTTAACAAAGATGGCTTGGAAGATTTAAAGATAGGAAGTGTGGAGCAATGTCGGCAATGCTCAACTGCTAAAACTCATAAGGAGAATTTTAAAGTGGTATTATCTCAGGGAGGCTGCTGAGGAAGCACAGTCCCTCTTCTCTTTCTAGCTATAGCGCTGGTTGTAAAGCGACCAGTATATCAGCAGACAGAATGCGTTTCAGTGAGATCGCTATTCTTACTTGTGCACCGCCAACCGCGGCAATGGGCACGAGGCCATGGCGGTGGCACAGCTACACACTGGAGGAGTCGTCGAGGGCGGTGCTGGAGGCAGTAACCGCGACAGCGAATGGACTGCAGGAGGTGATTGGGGGAGCAGACGCTCATATGAGGTGGTTCTCCATGTCTGTCTCACACCCACCTCGCCGGGACGCTGTGTGTGCCGAGCTCACCGAAGAAGTCTATCGCCTGATCAACGAGGCGTATCTACCCCAAAAGACTGCTGCAACACGCTCTGCAGGATACTTCTACCAAAATTGGCTGTTGCAGAGGTGAGTGCTTTGCAGTTGAATACTTCAGGGACTGTTTTGAATGACTTATTGCGTAATAAACAATACACTGTGTCAAAATTTCGCATGACTGGGGTGACAGTTCAACTTGTCGAGACGGGTTGTATAATTTTAGCCTTCGAAATCCCAAGCCCAAGCTCTCTCTCTCTTGCAATCTGGCCAGTTAATTTTGCCTACTACTTTGTTTTTCATTTACGCCAAACCCAAAAGCTGCTTGCAAGTGGTCGTGCGGAGTGGCGCCCGTGGAAATTCAGCCATTTACAGAGTAATGTTGTTAATACATTTGGGAGGGGAATTTGCAAGGCCTCAAATGTAGGACAAGAGAGTAGTCTGGAGCATTAGCAAGAGTTTGCATGGACCCTGCCAATTCAAAACTTATCTGTTAGACACCAAACATGCAAATACAATTCCATTTGGCTGAATGTCGATGTAAATGTAAAGGCTTCACTGCGGGAAATGTGGAATGGCTGAAAGTAACCTCCAATGCCGCAAGAGGTAACTACGACACCTTTTGATAATGTTAATTCTTGCAGCTTAAAAAAGAAAGCCCAGAATCGTGAAGTGTAACACTGGTACGGGAGACTTTTGCTTCCCTCAATTGAGACAGTCGATTGACTCTATAATTATGTCAAATCACCTTGTTTTTTGATGATTTCTCTCTTAAATAAGCAATATTTTAATGTTGTCGTGCTTACAAATTCCATACTCGTGACAATGTCACAAAAATAATAGTTTGCCTGCAGGAAGCTTAGTATAAGTAGTTTGAGTTATAAATGCAAGAATAACGTGGCACAAACTTAAGAGCGAAATTTATTTCAAGCTCAATCGAATGCGATTTCATGTTAGTTCTGTGGGGAAATTCGCATGGTAAGTCAGCGCCAAGTTCACGCATACCTCTTTAAGTTTAATGCATTCCATTGAATGCATGTTCCGGATGGATAGATTCAGAAAAAGTAACTAATGCGGCCATTGGTGCCGATTCCTGCATAAAGGCAAGCATCAAAAGTAATAAAAGATAAAATAAGGGATTGCAACTGCTCTCCAATATCTCACCTAGTCTCACGAATCGTCATTATTGCATCACCACCAATGGCAGGTGAAGTAATGATTCCACCGGTTTTGAAATAAATCACACGGCTAATGGTTCGGGTGCCTAATAATTATGTCTGCGTGAGATAGCGGCTGGTAGCGTAGTTCAGAGCTACATCAATACAACAATACATGGAAGTCTCCTTTAATGAGTGTTGGAACTGAGGGATGGAGGTGATCTTTTAGCTTTTGTCATTACTACCACTGATTCATTCATTCACGAGAATGGTATGGATAGCGCAATATAACCACACATGCCTCCTGGTCACCAGTCGACTTGACGCCCCGGGCCGGGACAAATGTGACTCAGGTATGGTCCACGGGGCATGGCCCAGACACTAGCCGTCCGCACACGCGCACTATCGCGAAGAGCACAGGCCACATGCGCTCCACGCCGAATGGACTTCCCTCTTTGCTCAGATCTTGCTGTCTAACCCGGCTGGTAGCAACAGCACACACCTCGGCATGCATAATAGAGGGCCAAAATCGGAGAGTTCTAATGCAAACCGAGGTATTACATCGATGCGATGGGCGATTGCGTAAATTGTCACGTGCTCAAAAATAAAATATCCGATGCTGAAAATGTGGCGTGTTACCGTATTTCTATCACATTTACTATTAATAAGGACATTATCTTGAATGGAAGACTTTATTGTTTCCAGTTAAGGCAAGTTGGTGTTTATGCAGATTAAGGATAGAATTAGTCAGTGAGTTTGACAGCAGTCTGTGTTAGATGTACTTTGACGTGATAAGGATAGCGAAGTTGTGGTTCCCACAGACTAGACTATTCGGCAAAAATATTTAGCCTTTTGAATTTTGTGCTCCTAACGTTAAAATAACTTCATTCCATATTGATGCCATAACATGCGATTCGCCAAACTTTGGAAAAAGCAAATTGACTTTAAGGTGAGTCATTTATGCTAGTAGTCTTAACGGCAGAATGGCGGTATCCGAAGTATTGTATAATGCGGCGAACTGAAAAGTCACTGCATGCGGAATGGCCAGCCGTGACATTAAGCCACTTGCGGCCTGGACCCGTGTATTAGAAACCGCATCAGCCCTCATATGAGCGGTTATTTTTATTTCCAGTCCTATTGTGCTAAACAACAAGAAGAGCGTAACCATTTTGTCCAATTCATTTTGCTTTTTAATGTTGTAAAGTTGGATGGTCCAGTCTTCAAACCTTACCGTAGATTTCGATTTGAGCATTCCACATCGATGTTCGTATTTTCGAAAAAAGTCTCCTTGCTCCCCACTTGCTTCCATTTAATGCATATGGATTGAAATAGCATTAGACTCAGGCAAGTTGCAACCACGTTCTTATGCAAACACTTGTAAAATAGGGGATTTACTTTCTCCTTCTTGTGCACTGGAGTTCAAGTTTGGGATTTCAAACGAACGATTATGATAATTCAGCCAACCTAGTTTTGGTATCCTTCAAATTCGCACGATCCGTGGTATATACTGCCAAGATGCGACTTGAAATAA